TAAACCTAGATAGTTATGTAGTCATATGTGGTGCCAATTTAACCTGATCAACTATATTTGTCCGTGAAGTGACCAACATGTGTTGGGAGTGACTGTGGTGTCGCAAAAAGTCTAAAACTCACCAAATCATATACAATAAAACAAAGTTAAAATACTATTAGAGTATTTTATGATTCTATAACAACGCACACACTCAATACTAGTAGTATAAATCCTTATAAAAAACAGACCTAAAATTCCTTGTTGTTGTTAGTAGCTATCATTATAGGTCTTTATCATTGTATATCTTACTCGAAATTATTCAATTCATAATCATATAGAAGGCTTATCATCATTTTCCCCTTTGTATCTTTTAGAAAAAGATGTCTTCCAGAAAGAGACCTAACAGGAAGAACAACGACCGTACACCGCCACCACCTCCTCAGTTCGATCCTGCTATGTTCCAAGCAGTAGTTACAGCCGTGATGGCGCAAATAAACCCTGGTGGTGCTAGTAGATCGGGAAGTGGTTCCCATTCCCAGAATCTTGATGAAAATCAGGGACACCAGAAGGAGTGTTCCTATAAAGACTTCATGATGCCAAGCCAAAATCTTTCAATGGTAATGGAGGAGTCATTTCCCTAACCCAATGGTTTGAGAAGATCGAATCCATTTTCGAGATTTACGCATGTTCTGAGGCAAACAAGGTGAAGTTTGCAGCCTGCACCTTCACTGACAGAGAATTGACTTGGTGGAATGGCCGGGTCAAATCCCTAACTCTGCCTATAGCAAACTCCATGGGTTGGGAGAGTTTAAAGGAACTCATGCTTGCTGAGTACTTCCTATGGGGCGAAATGCAGAAATTGGAGCACGAACTCTGGAACCTGAGGATGAAGGGTGCCAACATCGCTACCTATATAGCTAGATTTTGTGATCTCACTCTTCTCTGTCCGGGAACTCATGATTTCACTCTCACTACTTCATTCAATTATACATCCACTGCTTAGATTTCTATCTCCTACATCGACATCGACATGATGGAATGATTCTTACTTCTCTTCAACAACACCTCTTTCTTTCATTTCCATCTCCTTTTTTTTTTCTACGTACAATCTAATCGTCTTCACCTCCAAATCAGAAAAATAAGACTTTGAGGTTAAAGCCCGTATGCAAATCAGCGGTTGATTGTCCTGAAAATGAAATCATGATCTTTGGTTCTTAAGAATGCTTACAAGGTAATTTTGATTAATAGTCTATTTTTATTCAATCACATTATAACACAAGTTGATCCCTAAATCAACAAAAAGCCAAACAAGAATCCAATATTTCTATTCGATAAAATTCCATTATCATGAAACTTAATCCTCTTATTCCTCTTTTCTAATATCTCATTTGATTGTGACATACCATTTACTTTTACTCTTTTAATTTCCAAGTTGAAATTTTTATGTTTCCAAGGATAAAATCTCAGTCCATGCATTCAAACTGTTAGATTTTGAAATTTAGGAAAATGTAGATTTTTTGATCTTATGTAGCAGCTTCATATCCAGAACTTGGAAAAATGAACCCATGGACTCACGTATAGATAAATTGTATTACTTCTAACTAATTGTAAATGAAATTTATTACATCGCCTTTAACTAATTGTAAATGATGTTTTTTCATGAAGGGATATATTTATCAAGTGGAAGCAAGCTACGGGTGGCTTTTGATTTTTCTTGACTGGATTGTTGAATTATTGAACCTTCTGAAGCGGGGTTTCTAGGAACCAACAGGTGAGGCTGTGATTCTTCCTTTTTTTTATTGTTATATTTTTATTAATAGTTATGTTGTCGTGTAACGTTTATTTGGAATAGCAAATAATGAGAATTAAGACCCTCTTCCATAATAAGTCAAGTGGAGGAAATGTTGAGTATATAATAAGCATTAACAAACTAAGCCCAATGAGATAATAGTTACCGGTACTGCATATGGAAGGAAACCTTGTAAGTTTTCATGCTTTTACTCAATATTTTCTATAAACTATATATGATGTTGGTTATTGTTATTGTTCCTTTAATCATTCTTTAGTTATTCTTATAAAAATACTTAGTGCTTCAAGTTCTTTATTTATCTATGTAGGTCTTTCCTACATTTGGTTGACCAAGTAGAGCAAGTTAACTCTGGTTACCCTTAATCGGACATGAAAAGAGTTCCAGTTTGGTATCTAAAAGCCTCTAAAATACAGCTCTTCTATTTGACAGTGGTGATAAAACCCAACCACATTCTTGCAAGGGTATGGTAAAAGTCGACTGTCACATAGTTGTTTTAAACTTATGGAATATTTCCTTTGCCAATTTCTTGATTTTGTATATACATATACACAACTACTAAAAAGGGATGTAATTACTTGGACTAAATATGAGGAAGACTACAACATGCCTACATGGATTTATCAGTATGTAATAAATGGTATATTTGAATGAATCTTATGTTTTTATTCCATACTGAAAAGTTGAATCATTTAACAAGTAGTTGTATCATTTTTAGTTTACAAGTTATCCACTTATACCATTGTCTTTCTAAACAGGATGGTTTTTCTTAGTGTAGAGTGTCAATATTCTTCTTCTATTTGTTAATATTAGTTTTTAATTTCTCATATAATTGTAAGAATCTAACATTATACTGTCATTAACTTGCTTATAATAGCATCCTACTTTCATCATTTTCAGGGATGGTCCAAGGGCTGGGCTAACTAGGCCGCAACCCAAGGTAGTAGCTTATAGGGTATCCGATTTTTTCCAAATCCTAAGTCTTATTATGGGTATAACTCACCAGTTACATGGGTCAAGAACTTGATCCATAAACACGATCCAACCATTAAAGAAATTGGTAAGTGAAAAGGTTACCCACACTGGAAATTGAAAAGGATGAAACGCAAAAAGAAGAGGCAAATGTAATTTAGATTTGTTAAAAAAGGCGCGCATGAAGAAGAGTATTGAGTTTTCTTCAATTTCTAATTCTAGATTTCTTTCTTTTAAACTAAAAAAGCACAATTGTTTTATGATTCTATCTTAGTTTGTGAAAACCTGAACCTTTTTCCGTTACCATTAGCCAATTTTCGTTAATAAAATTTGAATTTTATTGAGTTCCATCAAATTCCTTTGGTTTGGAAAATCATTTAGTTATATAATTGAATTATATATATATATATATATATATATATATATATATATATATATATATATATGAGTCGGAACCAAAATCACGTGAAATACCTGAGTTTCCTTTGAAAAATCAATAGTTTTCGGCCTTAGTGATGTTCACGCCTATAAACCCGTTTACGGCCAGCGACAGGTGGCCCCCACCACCGACCATGGAACCCCCTATAAATATGAGCATCTACCCTCATTTACACTTTTCTGGCCGAAAACTATCCCACTCTCTCTAACCTCTCAACCGTAAACACCAAAACACCCTCTTTTCTTCTGAAAATCATCAAGAATCATCTTTGGAGGTTGTTTTGGAGCATCTGAAACGCGTTTTTCGTCGAAACCAACATCATTGTTCTTGAGTTTATGGCTATACACGCTTCAAATCTTCAAAGGCCGCAAACCGTTCACAGTCGTACTGTCACACCCCCGGCCGAGGCGGCGGAACATGCCGGGCTGTGCGACTAAGTTCATGGATCACAGATAAATTGAATATACAGCACAAGTACAACAATAAACAAAACAACATTTCATTACATGTTTATGCTTTCATACATGGTTCTTACAGGTAGTAATAAAATAATAATACGAGTTTGCCTTAACAGTTAGGCATAACAGTTCAAAAGTAGAAAATTAAAGTACTTGCGAGCCATGTTTTCCATCGTCTGATTGTGCCTGAAATTTCACTGATTTCCTGAGAATACATGTATTTTGAAAGTCAACACGAGGTTGGTGAGAGTCACAGGTTTTCTGCTAGCCGCAGTAATAATACTTTCAAAAGTCCAAGAGTATATATATATATATATATATATATATATATATATATATGTATATATATATATATATATATATATATATAATATTGTATAAAGATCGTTGAGACAATGCTTGTCATGAGTCTTTAAAAGCTAAAAATTAATTTTATAAATAATTTTATGCTTTTGAAGAAAATGTGTTTGTAATAACTTCATGAATGTTTAAACATATCCATTGTATAAGTAACCACCATACTTAAAAACATTTCTAAAAGCAACCAAACCTATGGTTGTAGTGAAAAAGTGAGAGAGATTCGTGTTAATGTTTTTAGTGAGTTCTATAATCGAGCTACAGACGAAAGGTACCCCTCCCAACAGCTCCTTCAGTTCCGTAGAAGGATCGGGGTTTACAACCCATGAATTCTTTGTATGAGCAGTGTTTGGGATTTCTTTGGGCAACTACAGGAGTACCACTTCCGCTATTTCCAGTATTCCCGTTTCGAGCTGCCTCATAAGTCGCCAAGGCCGTAGCAATCCCTTGTGCAAGCATGTTCTGCATCATGGTGGGATCCATCTGGAAATTTTGGTGGTTATTTGTAGCACTTGGGGTTTCTTCAGGGTCTGGAGTTTCTTCTGTTGTTTGAGTTATCTCTGGAGCACTTCTCCTGTTAGTTCGGGGAGTCGGTGGTGGACGAACTCGTGGTTCTTTTCGTCGAGGCATTATCCTAATACGTTAGATAAGTAAGTAATTTTTTTTTTTAAACCATATAGTTATAATGTGTGTGTATTTTGTATTTGTTCAATTTGTTTTTCTTGCGAAACCAGAAAATGAAAGCTTTTCCTGATATATAGAGTTTTGCAAGCAATACATAATAAATACAAACATTTAATAAAACACAGAAACATTGTCATCAGAACTGCTTGTTTTGGTTACAAAGTTTTAACCATATAAGGTTAGAAATAGAAAAGCTTTTCAAAAGAGCTATTACAAACCAGGCAGTGATAAACACTTGCAATACAAAAGCTATTCCTCAAAAGTCCTAACCTTATCCTAGGACACAAGTTGTCCTAGATATCTACCTCCCAAATCGAGTCATCACATAGAGGACAAAGTCCTCGAACTGGTCCAAGATGTAGCGTCGTTCCTGCGCAGAGATAACCAACTGATTTCGCTGCGCAGCAAGCTCGCTCTCCATGATCTGAATCCGGTAGTTCTGTGCTCTTACCTGAGCACTCAAGGCATTCACTGCATCATGATCAGCACCCGAGAGATGATATAATATCTGGATCGCATCAGAATTCTCCTTCTCCTCTTCCTCGAGTGTCTCAACTCGATGGTCGAGGGAAGTAGAGCCTGGACCTTTCACAAACTGCTCCAAGGATCTAATCCTATCCTCGGTCTGATCAATCTGAGTCATCAAGCGAGGTATCGGATCATCCTCAGGATTAAACCTGAGTGGTGCTCGTGAAGATTTACCAACCTCAAACCGTGGTGGTAGATCAGTAGCATCCCTCCTGCTAAGGAGGTCTGTAAGCCAAGATGGCTCACTGGATCGATTACGTTTCCCTAATAGACCACTAGTGGGTCGGGAAACCTGAGCAGCTGGGTCCAAGTGGTAAATAGGAGACACATAGTAGTTCCTGGGGTACTCATCATACAAGGGCCCTTGCCGCGCAGAAGGTACGGCTGGTAATGGGGGTCTCGGTGGTGAGTCTGGTGGGGTAAGGGGAGTAGGTTCCTCTTCGGAGAGGTCTCCCTCATCCTCTGCAGGACCATCATTATCAGTCTCTTGGGCATCCTAAAATATGCCCTCATTCTCGAGCTCCTCCTCATCGGGATCCTCCTCAGGATCCTCTTCGGGATCCTCCTCAGGATCCTCTTCGGGATCCTCCTCCTCAAGACCGTCATGGGGAAAGTACGGATCCCCCGCTAAGTGTAGTGGATGTGGATGCAAAGGAACTCCAAATGGCTCATCAGGATCCTCAAGTCGAAACCAGTCATCAGGGTTATCCGGTAGTCCAGCCATCTACATAGAAGGGTTTCAAGCGGGTTAGTAAATTTGTATAAGGGTTTTTTTTTTTTTTTTTTTTTTTTTTTTTTTTTTAATTTTTTATTAAGAGTTTTAAGGTTGATAAAAGGATTCTAGGGTATTAAGCTTCAGCAACGAATCTGATGGATATTCTTCAACTTCTAAAACTCTCAACCGTTGTAGCTTATCAAACTCCTTGCTCAAGGTTGGTTGTGCACCGGCCCGACCATAAATAACATAGGCGCGCGTTCCAGGTTTATTTGTGGTATGGCTTATGTACGATACTAACCTTTAATTGAGGCGTTTGACCTAAAGGGTTGAGTTGGTAGTTTTAGTTGAAGGGATGTTTAGAATTTTTATTAAGTGTTCTCATCGTGGGTCAGAGTATATATATCAACTCTTACATATTAAGGTTGGTGGGGTTTGTAGTATTATTAATCTTTGTTTTGTACTTCCCAACTAGCATACCATAAGTAGTCGGGAAGTAGTTTTATTATTGATAATACTTTTATAAGAAGCTAGTTGCTATAGTTGTATTCCTCTTTCGAGGATACGAGTTCTCTATAGCCAATTTAGCTCTGATACCAATTTGTCAAACCCCCGGCCGAGGCGGCGGAACATGCCGGGCTGTGCGACTAAGTTCATGGATCACAGATAAATTGAATATACAGCACAAGTACAACAATAAACAAAACAACATTTCATTACATGTTTATGCTTTCATACATGGTTCTTACAGGTAGTAATAAAATAATAATACGAGTTTGCCTTAACAGTTAGGCATAACAGTTCAAAAGTAGAAAATTAAAGTACTTGCGAGCCATGTTTTCCATCGTCTGATTGTGCCTGAAATTTCACTGATTTCCTGAGAATACATGTATTTTGAAAGTCAACACGAGGTTGGTGAGAGTCATAGGTTTTCTGCTAGCCGCAGTAATAATACTTTCAAAAGTCCAAGAGTATATATATATATATATATATATATATATATATATATATATATATATATATATATATATATATATATATATATATATATATATATATATATATTTTGTATAAAGATCGTTGAGACAATGCTTGTCATGAGTCTTTAAAAGCTAAAAATTAATTTTATAAATAATTTTATGCTTTTGAAGAAAATGTGTTTGTAATAACTTCATGAATGTTTAAACATATCCATTGTATAAGTAACCACCATACTTAAAAACATTTCTAAAAGCAACCAAACATATGGTTGTAGTGAAAAAGTGAGAGAGATTCGTGTTAATGTTTTTAGTGAGTTCTATAATCGAGCTACAGACGAAAGGTACCCCTCCCTACGACGCTTCATTGGACATCGTAGTAACGATCGTAGACACATATCACCTGCTTCGATTGATCAGTCGATGGTTGTAGCTAGCAACCGCAGGTGGGGTTGTCAACCCTATATAGATCTATATATATATGTAACTCGCTCCGAAGATTAACGATTATAGCAGTGTGGGGTAGGCTAAGTGATTAAACTCAGCTAATGAATAGTAGCGTCTCACTCAAAAACCATTAACGCAAAGTTTGTGAATAACTCTCAGCCCTAACTTAAATTAGATAAGTACCGGGGCATAATGAAACTCGTAGTATAGTATTTGTAAAGTCGAGTATGGTTGACGTATTTATAGAAGTATAAATTACTCGCTTTTATAGAGA